ATATAGTTCAATTAGTTTAGGCGATCAATAAAAAAACTAAAAAGAGCATAAATTGCCGAATTCCAGATGTGAATGAGGTGAAGCAACACCAACTCTATCGAGCTATTTCTAAATAAGAAATTAATTTCTGAATTAGAAATTAAAGTGAGAATCCATAAATTAGAAATTAAAGTGAGAAACCATATCTATATCTATATCTATATTATTATAAAAGCATGAATAAAGTGTTGGATTATAAAAATAACATTTTAACATTAAGCATAATAACTCACAATAAAAGGACATAATCGGAATTCTAGACATTAGCTTTGTACCTATTAGTTTTATGACGTAATACTACACGTTAAGAATTCTACATGATTACTTTTAGAAATCCTATTAGTATAGTTATTTTCAGACATAGATATTAGCTTTGTAATCCTATTACTTTTAGAATATAGTTATGAATTTTAATTAACAACCATGGAATTAAAAACAATTAGGTCGACCATCATTGGTTACCAAACGCATAAAAAACATTTTAATAATATTTCTTTAGTTACAACTTTTAAATAATAGAATCTGATTCAACCATAATATAACTACTGATACCAACATTAAGCACTTGAATTTAATCATTATATTCCACTTTTATTTTATTTTTTTTATTTTTTTGCATTTATTTAACAAACGATACTCTGAATAAAACGAAAAGATGTGGAGGATTTCCATGAGCATGTCGGCCCCAAGCTTGCGGATGGAGAGTAACCACTGGTGATAAGGTAAAACTAAAAATAAAAATAGAAATCTATCTATCTATATCTATATTTATATATATTATTATAAAGGTATAAATAAAATATTGAGTCGTAAAAATAAATTTTTAATATTAAGCATAATAACTCATAATAAAAGAACATAATTGGAATTCTAGACATTAGCCTTGTAATCCCATTAGTTTTAGGACATAATACTACACGTAATCCTACATGAGTATCTTTAGGAATTCTATTAGTATAATTCTTTTCGGGCATAGATATTAGCCTTGTAATACTATTACTTTTAGGATATACTTCTTAAAAAATTCCTATTACTAATTTAATTTGAAACGTGTTATATTGTTTAAATTCATTTAGAAATTGGAGAGCCTATATTATTATAAATGTACGAATATAATATTAATGGACCAAAATAGACCTAAAATATTAAATAGAAGAACTCATAGGGAAAGGACATAGTTGTAATACTTATTTTTTTGGACTACAATAACTTCTATATAATTTTTTTAATGTTTAAGATTTTAAAATTAATATAATCTCGTCTATTGAATTCTTATTAAAAATATGTAGGAAGGTTTAATAAAATCAATTTCATAAGAATTCTCCATATTGGTAATATATTACCACTTTACAATATTCAATACCAAAAAAAAAGTAATGCTAAACAGACTGCATAAAGCGTTGAAATGGAGAAAATAAATCCCCAGGATAATATATTTACTATATTATATTTGAAGTGCTTTCTTACTCAAATGAAAAAAATTATTATTAATTTTTCGTGTAATATAGAAAATTATACCCAATTATTAAAGAACAACTAAGAAATTTTTTAGGAATATAAATGTGTGAGAAAAGAAAGAAAAATGTTGGTAAGAGCCAATACCACTAATAATTTTGTAAACATAAAGATCTAAAAGTGGAATGTCATCGATCTTTTTACTCTTTGAAAATAAGATTTATGGTAGAGAAATTATAATGACGGTTAAATATTCAAATGTGAGATGAAATAATATTAAGAATCTAATTCAATAAAAAATTATATTTTATGTTAAAACCAAATAATTAAATCTTTCAACTAATTATTTAGGAAGAGAATCCGATTAAATTATTTTTTAAATTCATCATATGAGTAAAATTGTTTTTCAAATTGAAAAAAATATAATATTAAGAAGTCCATACAAGTGTTTGAGGAAGCACAGCCAAAGCTAAATCCTGAACAAGAATAAGCTTTCAAGACTATATTATAAAAAAGCGATCCTGGTATAGCAAGATTATCCTTTTTAGATGCTTCCGGCGGAATCGAAATAATATTCATATGTCATGCATTACTTGCAAATGTCAGATCAAGAGGCATAATATTGTTAGCAATAAGAACAAGTGGTGTACCAGCAACGATTTTATTATGAGGTCATACAACTCACTTTAAATTTAATATACCTCTTCAAATAACTGAAATAACCATCACAAATATATCAAATCAGATCAATAGTACTAAAATTATAAGGAAAGCAAAAGTGATAATATGGGATGAAATGCTTTTGGCTAAGCGTCAGACGATCGAATCAATCGCTCATAGTTTGAGAGATATATTGGATATATGAACCGTTTGGTAGAAAAGTAATAGTTTGGAGGTGATTTCTGTCAAGTGCGTTCAGTAGTTCTAAAATTGACCAAAGCAGAAAATGTAAAAGCTAACTTGCAAAAATTATACTTATGATCTCAAATGAAAAATATTCAAATAAAAAAATATAAAAGTAAGAACCGATCCAAGATTTAGTGACTTTTTGGGTCGCGTCAGAAACAAAGAAGAGCATCCAATAAAAGATGATTTGGTTCTTCTAGAACACTTTGTTATCAACCCCAATGGTAATAGTAGTGCATTTAATAAGGAAAATATCTTCATCATTAGATTAAAACGCAATTTATGCAAATTGCATAATAAAAATTTAAAGTGCTATCTTAGCTAACAGAAATTAATATGTTGATCAACTAAATAAAAGGTTGATTGCTAAGTTTTATGGTAAAAACAAAATATTTTTTAGTTTTGACTCAACAGAAGATGATACCAACAATAACTACCATGACGAATATTTAAATACTTTAATACCAATTGGCCTTCTACTGTACATGTTTGTTGTCAAGTTCATTATTTCTTACGTATGTTAGTGTCACTATTATATAATAGACTAAGTTAAAATTGATCTTCCATTTAATATAGGTTTATGCCCGTCATGCTACTGAATACTTAGATTCGCTAAATAGCTTATGTAATAGTACACATATGGTAGATAGAAGTCTTGACAATAACGTCATACATGCAGAACTTATGATATTGGTCAATGTGCGTCTAAGTATGTGTTTATCCCCAAAATCAACTTTCGTCTTATGAAACTAAAGAATATCCTTTTAAATTTGTGTGAAAATAATTTTCAGTATGTTTATGTTTTGTAGTTATAATAAATAAAGCACAAGGACGGACATCCTAAATATTGAACTATATTTATCACAATATGTTTTCTTACACGAGTAATTATATGTTGCACTTTCAAGACAGGTATCAATATCGACAACAAGCGTTCTGGTTATGGCATATTAACCAAAGCATTAGAAGGAAGCATATACAAAAAAAAAATACCGTCTATAAAGAAGTGTTCGGTAAGATACCATCACATTAGATACATTTATACTACAATACATAATTATCCACTTAAAATGACTAAAACTGATCATTTATGTAAGTTCCGATGATATCCTTTCATTTTGAATTCACGTATTATGCTAATGTAACAATATTTTTTGGCATTTAGATTATTGTTGTAGTATTACACATAAATTTTCTCTCATTAATTAAATTTTATTATTTTTTCATATAAGTAAATATTTAAACCATCATGTACCATTATTAACGTGCAACGCACGTTTATTTTTATATATATATATATATATATATATATATATATATATATATATATATATATATATATATATATATATATATAACGCAATTTCTTCTCTTGGTTAAGCACGGCAGTTACAAGTCCCCTTTACGTGATGGACAAAATTCTTTTTAGGTATTTCTTTGTCGACTGAATGAACCTTATTAAATTATGGCTGACGATAATTGCAGAAAAAAAAAACCAAACAAAGAAACAAAAATTACGCATCAACCACTATATATCAACAAATAACCGATTCTCTGTTTCTTTTAATTATTACAACTATCATCAACCTGAAAATTGTAGCTAACTTTTGATTCATTCCAGCTTGCCTTGCTTGGATTAAGTTAATTGGGGGAAAGCCCTTCCAGTTGTCAACTTCAAATATGGTATTTCTATTTCGAAAAAGTGTCAAATATATCCTTTTACTATGGAAAAATTATTTAAGCGTATCCTTCGTTATACTATTTGGTCACTTCAACACTACTGTTATACTATAAAATGAATTTGCCTTATTTTTAATGGAGGGGCCACGTGTCAACTCTTTATTAAAAGACCCGTGCTCGATTAATCTATCCAGTTCAAACTCACCTACCCGACCCGCCCTTCATCCTTTCTTGTTCAAACAATGGGTTCTTTCATCTTCTTCACATTGATTTTTACTATTACCTTCACCGGCGAAGATGGTGGACAAGAAAACTGATATACAATAGTTATAAGTAATAAAGCCTCTACGACCCATTAGTCATTTAAATCATCCCCTTCTTTGCAAAATAACAAAATTTTATAAAGTTGAACGGAGAACTAAGTTGGACAAAACTGGGGCAAAAGGGCAAACCCATTTGGGAACAAAAAGGCGTAGAACTTTGTTCATTATATTCTTCATTATCACCATTAGAGTCTTTAATGCGATGGTTTTAAAGAAATTACTAAAGTTGAAGTTTTTGGACTTCCCAAGTTCTTAGACAGCCATGGTGGTGGTGGAAAAAATTGCCCAATATGACGTATGCCATTGCTAATTCTAATTAGGTTTTCAAGATTTTAAAGCCAAATATTGAAATTCTTGGTGATTATGCTTAAATATCTCTCCGAAGGTGGATACTAAGGCGGCATCACATTCCAAACTCAAAATCCGTCACAAATCCCAATTACTCTCTCAACCAAATCCCTTAACTCTTAATTCCCAAATGGCTCGTACAAAACAAATTGCCCGAAAATTCACCAGAGGGAAATCTCAGAGAAGCAATTAGCCAGAAAAGCAACTAGAAAGTCAGCTCCGGCTACCGGAGGAGTGAAGAAGCCTCACAGATTCAGGCTAGGTACAATGACGCTCCGTAAAATTTGCAAGTACCAGAAATGGACTGAGCTTTCCAACGTTTGGTTCGTGAGAGAGCTCAAGACTAATCTCCGTTTTCAGAGTTTGGCGGTGGCTAAGCTTGAGGAAATTTCTAATGACTTTGGTGTTGAAAAGGATGAAATTAATCAAAGGATTTTGGGTCGGGTTTATGGTTAAAAACCTTTTAAGGGATCGAATATTTTAATGGGGCATGGGTCTTTTAACAAGGAGCTGACACATGACCCTCCCTTAAAAGTAAGGGAAAATTCATTTCATAGTATAACAACACGGTTTGAGATGACCAAATAGTATAATAAATGATATGTTTAAAAAAAAAATCGATAGTAGAGAGATATATTTGACTTTTTCCCGTTTCCATTTTGAAAATGCTTTATTGGAATAGGACTATAATTTGGCTAATTAGTATTTGTACCTATTATTCAATTGTTACTAACTCGTATCACTTTTATTCAAACGCGCAACAAATACAGCTTGTGTCAACTGTATTCATTCGCGTAAAGAATACAACGTGTATTAACTGTATTCGTTCGCGCAATTGTATTCATTTGTGCAACGAATACAATATGTATCAATTGTAACCAAGGCAAAATACAAAGGTATATGTAAAAGATACAACTTGTACGTGAGCATATACAAAGGATACAACATGTATCGACTGTATTTGTTCGTGCAACGAATACAACTAAAGCGAAACATAACAAAAAAATAAAATGTTCTTATTGAGAGTCGAACTCAAGACCTCTGCTAACTAATCAAGCATTCTAACAAACTAAGCTACGAGAGCTTGTTGCTCTCTTGTTTCAATTTAAAACAATTAATCTTTTATTTCATAGATTTGCTATAAAATTCAAATATAGCTATGAATGGTAAATTTGCTGAAAGTTTAGCTACGAATGGTGTCACACCTCCTTTTTACACACCTACCCCGAAGGATAATGTATAAGGGAGTTTTTCCATTTAAAGTGACATTATTCGAAATAGGATTATTTATTTATTTTTAGAGTCGCCACTTGGAAAAGGATTGGCTTTTGGTGTCCCAAGTCACCGGTTTAACTTGAACCCCAAATCGAGGAAAATTGTCGACTTCCCATTTGGAGTCTGCGAACCAGAAATTCTGAATAAGGAATTCTGTTGACCCGAGGGAAGGTGTTAGGCACCCCCGGATCCCGTGGTTCTAGCACGGTGGCTTAAACTATTATAATTAGCTAAAAATCTGATTTTAATACATGTCATCATATAGTGCACTTTTAAAATTATTTACCGCTTTTAATTAAATTTTTTAAGAAATTGAACATCGTTTAAAATATGTTTTCGGATCACGTCACTTGAAATGCACCCGGATCCTCGACATACTTTATTCAATGTTTTGGGATTTGGATTTGGGTTACATGAAATGCACACCCGTATTTAGGAAGGTAAGATTATTAAAAAGCACGCTTAAAGAGACTAACATGTTATTAACTTTGTGGGAGGCCCTGAAAATTCGCTAAATGGCACGTCCCGAATTCTACGTATTTGAATATAAGCGTTTAAAGAGGGCCACGCGATTTATGGGTTTCATTTGGCGTAGCGCACCTCGTTTTACTTTTAAAAGGCCATCCTAGAGCAAACTATTATTTTCTATTGAATTTGTCTCTAATAGGACCTAATTAATTAGTTAAGGAATCCGGGCCTTCAAACTCATGTCCACATCTAAACAAGAGGAAAATCCCCCTTAGTTCAAATGTGCTACCTAGCTCGAGAGGCCCAAATCGATTTTATGTCAAGCTATGAATCAAGCTCTTAGACCAATTCCAAAATAATGAATTTTAATAGAGTCTGGAAGAGGGTCCATCAGATCGTGGGCCTGTTCAGGGGCCTAAACTGAGACTGAACTGGACTTGAGCAAGCAAACTTAACTCAATAAGCATTTAAAAATTCAGATTCATTATAGTTATGGAAACTTGATTTAAGATTCAACGTATAGCCTAGACAACCTCTAATCACAATTCCAATTGACAATACAGTTTAACACTCAAATTATTTATGTATTTTTCCTGATTTCTATATTATAACCATAGATGATTGTTTCTGAGAACTGAAGCAAATCAAGCTACTACTTCAATACTTGTAACGATTAAATGAATCAAAATTCATCAACAGCATGCAAAACGACTCACAACCTGATTTTACACTCATAAACATGCTGTCCAGGTCAAATTCAATTTTTTTTAAATACTCACACCTATTCGAGTGTTCAACTACACATGAGGACCTAGAATCAACTTCTACATTTATGCTGTTATTGACGTCAAACTAATCATCAACAAAACTACACTAGACTAAGGAATATCAGCAGTCCAATACAAATCAAAAGTCCAAAATAGTCCAAATTAATTTAGAAACAATCCTAATTATACAGTCCATGGTCTATTGTTCATGTAATACAAACTAAACAAACTAACGCTAGATAACTACCCTCGACTAGCATCTATTTAATTGTAACTATAGGAGGATCCAAATGAGCACAGATCTGAGGAATACTTTTCATTTCACTCCAATTCAAAGCTACATCAATGTGACTTCAGAACTATGTACCTGGAGTTGCAATGAAGCAAAAGAGAAGAAGATGGCCAACAGCAGTAGCAATAGCTAACCAACAACAACAAATCAATTTCAACCCAAAATAATGTCAAGACACCCAGGACCAGATCACAAATGATAACAAACCACCGGATGATTAAAATAACTTGACTGAAGTCCAATTTGAGCTTGAAATTAACCCAGGAAATATTTTGACACCAAATCAGTCAATGAACTGATCAAAATCACTGGAATAAACCCAAAAGAGCTGGAGAAATGAAACCAGGAACAAATAGGAACTCAAAATAACAGCTGAACTTCAAATTAATCTAAACATGAGCTTCAATGTAACAGTATTTTTGGAGTTTTTCTGCTGTATTTTCTTTTGTTTTTGGTTTTTTGAAGGAATTAAGATCTAAGAGAAATTTTGAACTATAAGAGTTCAGATTTTTGAACTTCTTTGGATTTGAGATTCAAATTTTGGTGCTAGAACTTGCAGAAAATATTTTTGGGGGGAATTTTAAAAGCTTCAAATTATTTTTGAATTTCAGGTGTTTAAACTTTCTTGGGGAATTTTCAGATTGTTCAAAACTTAAAACTTGTAAAACAAGGCAAGGGGTATGCCTTTTTATAGGCAAAACTAGGGCAGCATCAGATTTTTGTTTTACACCCTCAGTCCCTCTTTTATTTTCAGATTTTAACTACTTAAACCCCTCATTTTATGCCTTGTTGGGCAAGTAACACTACTAACTTTCTGAATTTCAAATTAAAACCCCATCTAGAAGGTTCTAGTGATTTCCAATTTCAGTTACTTGCAGGGTTCCTTTTATTGAATTACCTATACTACCCTTAATTCATTCATGAAATTACCCACTCATGTCAGCTAAACCCAAAACCCCTTTTACCTTGGTCCAAAGTGACCATGGTTATTTAACCAAATAAACTGGAAATGATCAGCTATAGCCACATAGGAATCTCAACATAATTTGAATTAGAATTAATCCTAATCGAAGCTATTATAGACTACTACTACGAATTGGACGGAATTTAAGAACCAAAATTGACAGAATTCCAAATTATGCTACTGATTATTAAGTAAACAAAAGTATGAATCTAACACAACAAAAATTAAGAAGAACAGATTTGTGCTATCAATTAGAACTCAAAAAATGAAACGAACAAGTATGAACAGAAAAACAAAGCCGATTACTGACCCTAAATTGATTGGTAAGCAAAAAATGAAAACTAAATCGATTAATCATGAAGAAGAGACAGTGGAGGAGAAACTAATTCAAATAACGAAAAAAATAAAGAAAACTCACCTATGTAGCTCTAGAGTTCTGCCGCTTCTTGTGATTTAAAATTCGAGCACCTTGGGCGAGATCCGAAGGCCACTGATGATGGATTAGGAATGAGAGAAGTGAGGAGATCACATGGTGTGAATTTGGTGAGATTTGGAGGATTTAGGGTTTTGGCCGGAATTTCGATTTGATATTCGAGAAGATGGGCAAGGATTCGGGAGAAAGGGATTGTAGATTTGGAGAGAGGAGAGGAGGGTGTTTCAAGGGTGTTAATTTGGTGGTCGTTGGAGGTTTGCCACCGTGGGCGGCGGAGGCGGCGCCTAGGTTTTGGATTCGAAGGGATTGGTGGGGATTTGAGAAAAATGGAGGTCGGATTTTGAAAGAGGAGGAGGAGGGGGTGCGGTAGTGTATTTTTGGGAGCATTTGGAGACTTGCCGCCGGCGGAGGCGATTTCTGGCCGGTGGCGGACGGCGGGGTACGGCAGAAGGCGGTGGTGTATATTAGGGGTGTATGAGAGACGATGAGTGAGGGGTAGGGGGTTATTAGGACAGTTATATATTAAATAACCTAGTTAGTTCCGGACCGTTGGATTGATGAGATCCAATGGTCGTGATTAAAAGGTAATGAAACGGGGTCGTTTTGGGAGGTGCTGGGGCTGGACCGGATACTTTGGCTGGGCACTTGGGTTATATGGACCGGTATCCGGGATTATTTGGGCTGGTGAATTACTGGCCCAGTTATTAATAGCCCTCTTTCAATCCTTTTAACTCTTTTTCTTTCATTTTCTTTATTTGATTTTTTTTATTTTTGTTGAATACAAAATTAAAAATAACAAACACCTGATTTAACTCTAAAATTAAACTAATTTATTTTTAAAAATTAACTAAATCCTGATTTTAAAAGAAAACTAAGGCCAATTTGAGAATTAAAAGTAAAAAAAATACAAAAAGAATCATTTTTTGTTATTTTCTTCTATTTTTGTAATGTTAATTTACTAATAGAACTAAAAATGTAAAATAGGATCTTAAATGCAAATATGCTATTTTGGTATTTTTTATGAATTATATCAATTAAAAATGCACACAAAAATGCAAACAAACACAAAATCATGCAATTAATTCCCTAAAATTCAAATAATAAAAGAAAAATCCTAATTTTAAGAATTCTATAGGAATAATTCAAGCGAGGCAAAAATCACATGCTCACAGCTGCCCCTCTTTGCTCGGAGACACGAAGGGTTTTCGGGCAAAGATAAATGAGCAATCATGAGAGATTTTTGCCTGCTTGGCACTC